TCAACTACTTACCCTCAGCACTAGTGCACTCACAGACCGAACATGCATACCAATGTTTCACTGATGGCGCTGATGATACAAAGAAATTCTACAGATCCTGTTCTGTATTTTTGCCTTCCTCCAGCAATATTGGAGATCAAACTCAAGTGCTCTACCACTGAGCTACACACCCAGCCTTCTATACACTCTTTCTGAGGAGTGGTCAGTGCATGACATTTAGTTCAAACGAAGCAGCAATATTGCAACCAATTGGGCTGACTAGCCAGCAGTCTGAGGTGAAAAGCATCCTTTACAAACAAGGGATAAGGACTTGAAACATAATGATTATTCGGTAAGATTCCATCTGGTAGTTCTCAGGAGACACTGGGCCTGATTCTGCTGCTAGACTGGGTTTTCTGTGTCCATATATGTTGTGGGGGAGAAGAGGAATTCCGTATACATCTTGGGAAAGGTTGGTGATAATAACATGGCAGAAAGTATTTAGGAAGTCAATGGGGGTTTTAAAAAATCATCCAAGAGGAAGAAACCTCCATTTTAATCTAAAATAGTGGTCATATTCAGTATCAAAATTGCTTCGGAAATTTGTAATGAAAAATTTCACTAAGGATTAATTTCTGTGTTTCTTCTCTTCTTGTTAGCAGTCAAGGCTGCAGCTAGATCATGCTATCACAAAGACCCATTTGTGCACAAGAACGCAACTCCCAAATCTCGGCTTGTGACTGAGCCAGGTGAAGGGCCCCATGTTGAGTCATTGTCCTGTACTCAGTGTGTCACCATAACGTGCTAAACTCAGTTGAAGAAGAGAGGCGACTACTGTGGATTTCAGCATGCATTTAGCTTGTTTGGGCAATGAAATTCAAAACAGAAAGACCATAAAAACAATGACTGATCGTTAAAATGACCCCACTGTCTAACTAGTGACTTGCTCCCCACTTCAGTAGGAAACCCCTTTAGCTTGATGTCTGTGTTTAAGACACTATGCATGACTTTTACTCCGAGTGACTCCAGTGTGAATATGACATTACTAATGATCTGCTAAGTGTGTGCAGATGTGGGTTACTCCAGATGTGGTGATTAATAACGTAATGGAGATAGCTGGTTGACTCATGTTTATGGGTTGTTGCCTTTTATTGCTTTTCTGAGTTTATTTGCTTTGAACTATTTTTTTTTTAAACTCCAGCCAACAAACTTACCTTTAAATCTCAAAGGACCTCAACCCCCTTCATGTCCTGGAGAAAAACAGGGAAGAGGGAAAATACCCTAGACTGGCAGGGATTGCTAGGTTCATCCCATCCAGGCATCAGACTATTTGGAAAAGCTGAAACTTGTGGTCATTGTCCCATTTCAAGGACCCATAAAGAGGCATTGGTGAACCCTGGCCTAGCACTTGCAGTCTGGCAAGGGAGATAAAACAGGGATTTCTTTTTTAAAAAATCTAGTAAAATATGTGATCATTTTGAAATAAGCCCAGAATTCTGGCCAGTGTTCTGGAAGATGTTGCTTTGCTTTTGCTTGAACACAGAATGCTGATGAAAAGTCGAATGAAATGTTGTTACAGATGTTCAGCTCTGCATTAAGACTGTTGGAATTACCACCACATCTTAAATCAATTCCCAGAACATTGTCTGGAGGTTATGTCATTGCAATAATGAATCCTCTTTAGTCAAGTATAAGCAAACATGTTAAAACATCATTGTAAGTTTAAATTAAACTCCAGCGCAAACCAGGGGATCTGAAGCCTCATTAGACTTGCCTGACATTTTTCTAATGCCGAGTCTTCCCGAACCGTAAAACTGTTAGATTCAGGGCCTATTAGACAAGGGAGCGCTGGGAAGTTACAACAGAACATTAAGGGTTATACTTAGGGATGTGCAGAAACAAGCCCTTGAATTTTATGAGGTCTTGGAGACTGGAGGGAGTTTGGCTCCTATAAAAATTCCATATTAGATTCCTGAACTTGTTTGTGTTTTAAAGAAACTGGTAAGTCAGTTACTTTAAAGGGTTATATCTTCATGTCACTCCCCCTGCACAGGCAAGTGAAGATGTTAAAAAGGTGTATTGCAGTCAGCTAAAAAGCAGGTTAAATGTGAGCCTGTGCGTGCACAGGGTGGTGAGGTAGTAGCCCTTCACGTCCACACATTTCCCTTTCGTGACAGTGAGTAAATTTAAGTCTTCATCATAATTTCATTTTTATTCCTCTCCTGGGGTCACAGAAGCCATGAAATGACTATTGTATTTTATAGCTTGGTTAAAACTTTTTCTAGATCTCAGCTTTTTACATATGCAGAAATTGATAGAATCCATATAAAGAATAATAATTAAATGTGGTTTCTATCCTGCTTAGCAAAAAAAAAGTGATCCCGGTTTCTCCTGAAAGACCAAAGTCATGTGTAATATTCTCCATTACACAACATTCATATATCTAAACTGAAGACATTTCTCCCCCAGCTCTTCAGGGAACAGATTTCCAGGCTCCAAGTGTAGGAGGAAAGCTTTGAACACAGTTTCATTGAAGTGAACAAATCCCAGTTTAAATGCACTATGATTATGATGGATGATCTCTCAGAGTTGCAATGAAAATAAATAGTTTCCTTGTATAGAAGGAGGCATAACACTATGACCAAAATGAGGTGTCTCCCCAGAGCTGGCTAAGGCATATTAACTTGCAGATCTCCTATCTGAAGATCTGTGCCAGCAAACAGCAGTGACTCAGTAAAAGGATAATGGGCACTTAATCAAAGAGGGTGCTGTACTGTAGGCCCAGCACTAATGGGAAAGCAAAAGTTAAGCAAAAATGCAGTGGAAATAACAGTGAAGGTAACTAATAGAGACATTCCATAATTGGCCACAACCACGGTAATGTCAGCTGGTCCTGAATAAAGCTAGGTTAGATAAAAGACCTTCGTGGGTGTTGTATTACAAGCTTATGAAAACAGAAAAACCATTTGCACCCTCACTAAACCTACTCGTGTGTGTGCACACACATTTGCATCCTTTAACTTGTATGCCACACAACTATGTAGGTCACCCTGTTGCAGTACAATTGCAAGTGACCCATGAAAGGTAACTTTATATTACATACAGAATCAGTGCAAGTCTGTCTACTCCATTCTAAGCTGGGAAAGTGTGAAAGTATACTTAGGCATGTGTGTGAGCACATACACTCACACTTCATCCCACTGTGGCCTGGGATGCCCACCCCCTGTCCCATGAGAGAAAGATGGATTCAGGTCAAGCTCAAAGTGCCTGTTTGCTTGCTGAGAGATGCATATCAACTCTAAGTGATTTTTTTTTCAATACCATTTATGTGGCTTGTATTTATTTCCTTTAATCTTTTAAGTGCTGTTTAGTCTCTGTGTGATTTGCTGTGGATATTCATTTCTGATAAGATGTGATATCCCCCCAGCCACATAGTCTCAGCATTAAGTGACTGATATGGTCTCAGCCCGAGTGGAGCCGAGGGTGCGGGGTGCAGCAGGGAGCAGGTGGGAGGAAGAATGGGCTCTGAGCATGTTCAGGTGTTTTTTGTTTTGTCTTGATTCCTCCTCCTACACACTATTCTTCTTTTACCCTGTGTCAGGATGTGGCACCCTCAGATGGGGAGTAGAAAAGCATAGTGTGCCATTTTAAGGCAAATTTTAGAGAATGGCTAGAATGTTCTGAACTTTTTGAAACTGTGTATCATAACCTCCTGTATTTATTTCGGATTTTCAAGGAAGTACCATAGGATGCATGCTCTGGTGTGGGTCTTCCTGGATAAAAGCAAGTAGCCTAGCTGGCCTCTTCACCCCATCTAAGGCTCATACAGTTAACATGTGCCAAGCTTCTTTTGATGTTGTCACTGCTAATACTTCTCCTCTTAGCTTTAAGGTAACCTCGCTGCATTCTGAGTTTCTGGGCTGTTCTCTCCTAGTCTGTGTGGCAGACTTTCTACTCTAAGAAACCGAGGATCCTATTTTTCTCTTCTTGACATTACAGCTGTAGCCTGGACTGTACGAGGGTGGGGAGGGGAGAACAGGACTAGAATTTTGATGCTCATGCCCTGAGGTGACAGGCTGGACATGCATCTGCTAATTATCCAGCAGCTCTCTTAAAAACAAGCATGGTGCAGGCTAATCCATCTCCAGACAGAGCTTCTTAGTGGGTGTCTTTGGGCAAGAGCAGCGGAATGCACTGTGTTGTGTGTGAGTGACGCTTCACATCGCTTAGCTATCTGTGTGGTTCAGACGTTTGGAAAAGAGCCTGTGGTTTCCAGCACCCTCTGCTGCCCTCCATCCCCACCCTACACCACATCATCAAGAGCTTTCACTCAGTGGCAACCTCCTCCTTCATTTCAGTTCTCTTCTCTAGCCTTGTGTTCCTGTCTTAACTACTTAAGCCAGGGCCCCATATGCACAGCCCCACACGCCCTTGCTGTTGGCAGGGAGAGCTGAGCTGAGCTGAGCTGAGCTGGCCTAGGGATTTCTTGAACCCACATGTGCCAATGTTCCCAGTCCTGACTGACTGAGCCATGTGCTGGGTGGCTGAGGCCTGGAATCCCTGCCTCACTTCAAGGCTTCTGCTGTGGTGTGCAAGGATTGGGAACCAGTTAAGTTGGTTCACCTGGAGAAGCTGCTGCAGCTTTTGGTTACAAGCAAATTCATTTGATTAACCAGCCAAGCAAAGTAACCAAAATTAACTCTATGAAGAATGACATAGTGTATTTTTGTATGCAGATAAATCATGATTTCTCATTTTTCTTATGGCAGGGTATTTATAGATTGTTCTAGTCTGTTTACAGTGCATGCTCAAGGGTTGGAGCGTAAAGCAATGTTGCTTTAGCCTTCTCTCAGCCGGCCTCTCTGACTCACGCATTTGGTCTTTGTCATCGGGCCCCTAAAGACAGCCCTGAATTCCTAGCGAGTGACTGAGCCTTGAGTGTGTGTCCTTTGATATCTTGCCTGTGTTTCACAGTCTGCCCTCAAACTGTTCATAATCTCATGAGCTGCCTGTATTTCCAGTTGAAGATGAACAGCCGTCAACGCTGTCACCCAAAAAAAAACAGCGCAACGGGGGCATGAGGAACTCGCCCAACTCCTCCCCGAAGCTGATGAGGTAAGTAAGGCCCTGCGCCGTCCCCTTCCCAGCTCCTTTTCTGGCCTCCCCCACACCCAAGCCCAGGCCCAGGCCTCCCTCCCTAGCCAGTACCCTGGGGGGAGGGGAGTAGACCATTAGATGGCTTCTTAAAGGCTGGAGTATTTATTCTGTCAGCTTGTCAGCAGTTAATGATAGAGCTGAAAAAATTCTGTCATGAAAAACAGTTTGAAAAGCTGTTTGAAAAATACATAGGCTTTAAAGTCTTGGCTGTCACCATGTCCTGTCTGTGTGTAGTTCCTAAACAGCAGTGGCACTAATGACGCTGTGAACCAATCAGAGGGACTCTGTGGTTAGTTTGCCTGCAGCAAGTCTCTTTCTGCTAGGGTCCCTCCGAGGACTGTTTTCTGTACTTAAGGCCATATGTGAGATGTATCATCACAATCAAAAATGAACCTGAAGATTACCTTCCTTTTATCCTGTCGATGGAAATCAAATTTCTGTTAATTGATTTTGACTGAGAAAAAAAAGTCTAATAATCTGTGGGCTTGCCAAAGCAAAGTTCAAAAGTAATCCAGCTCTGCTCAGGCTAAAAGCAGTATTAATTATGAAATAGACTGTCCCTTCCTTCCTTCCTTCCTTCCTTCCTTCCTTCCTTCCTTCCTTCTCTCCCTCCCTCCCTTCCTCTCTCCCTCCCTCCCTCTCTTCTGCCCTTCCTCCCTCCCTCCTCCTTTCTTTTTCCCTCCCTTCCCTCCCTCCCTTCTGGCTCGCCTTCCTTCCATCCTCCCCTCCTGCTTTCTAAAGTATGGCTTCATCTAAGAAATAGCAAATGCAGCAGAATTTCAGTAGACCTCTTCATGTTCCCCTGCTGGTCAGTTCATCTCTTGTTCATCCCTTTGTTTCTTATTCTCTCCTAATCCCAACATTTATATTTTCTGACCTTCTACCTCTCCATCACTTCAATGAAAAGGAATGATTTCAGGGGCTGGGGTAAAGGCTCAGAGGGTAAAGTGCTTGCCTTATAAGCATAAAGATCTGAGTTCAATCCCCATAATCCGGGGGTGGGCGGTGGGGGGAAGCTCATGCTTATAATCCCAACCTAACACCAGAGAGGAGACAGGTAGGTTTTTGAGGCCTTCCAGTCCAGCCTGCTTGGTGAGTTCCAAGTCAGTAAGAGACCCTGTCTCTAAAGGTGGAATGTGCTGAGGAACGACACCTGAGGTTATCCTCTGGTCTTCACATGCATGTATACAGAGAGAGAGAGAGAGAGAGAGAGAGAGAGAGAGAGAGAATGAATATGAGAATATGAGAATGAATGGTATCAGACCTGCACTGCTCACCCTAAATGGTCCTTCTGGGGAGACATCAGTCACCCTGACATTACTTTCTTCTTTAATGACCATTAGCCCTCTCCTCCTTTTGATTACTGAAATGCACTATTGGTGATCTCCACTCCCTACTTCCCTGCATTCCTGTCTCCTTGTGTCCACCTATCTGGGACATAGGAGAGGACTTCAGTAATGGGAAACATGGGTTCCCAGTGGCAGATTTGCCTCATACTTTCTGTCTCTCCTGTCATGTGTGCACCTCTGTACTGGTGTAGAATGCTTCTGTCAGAGTTCTCTGCCCTCCCCCGGTTCAGGGTTCAGTCTTGCTGATTTACATGCTTGTTTACACTTTACAAGGAGGAATAAAATCCACCAACTGCGAAGCCAGCTCAGCTTTATGATGCCAGTTGTCAGGCTAGTACTCAGTCCTGTTTATTCACCTTTAGGTAATAGGCTTATCTAATGCTAATAGTTTTCTCATTTAAAGAAAAGCCCACATGCTTTCTTTTGCTTAAATTTAGAGAAATAAATAAATAAATAAGAGGAATGTGAAAAATTTGAAACCTTTGGAGCCAAATTCCCTGTCCCTGTTTGCTATGTAAAGTACGGCTCTTTGCTTTGATCTTGAGTAATAATAATTCTGAGGAGTTACACTGTTTTCATATGCTTCAAAGCTGTGTCAAAGTTTTGCTGCTTAAGGGTACTTCTTTATTCTGTTGGCTCTTGGGTACCAAGATGACAGGTCTCCTGTACGAGGTGGAGGCTTTTTTAAGTTGTAGCCTTCAGCAAAACATCAAATTACCAAATCCAGAGTAAGATACTTCTACACAAATGCCTTTCCTGTAGATATATTATACCATATATATTAAATACTTTAGTGTTACACGCTACATTTTATGTGCAATAGAAAGTGATGGTTTGAGGTAGCCTTGGGGGGACTTTTTTTTCCACAAGCAGAAAAAGCTAGTGTATACCGTATCAAGTATGGTTTTTACAGGACTTTCTGCCTGAAGGCCTTTGTAAATAAGTAATGATCAACAGATTGGCTGTGGGTTTTTGAAAAGCATGCCTATGTCAGTTTGCATGATGGGGGAGAATTTTCAAAGTGGATCTTGCTTTCATTGCCTGCCGAAGAGGGGCTGAGGGAGGCAGTCATCCTAGGCCAGAGCTGTCTGTTTTGTGGTACATCAGAATAGCTAAATGAGGGTCAGGTGGTGATCCAAAACGTGCCCAGCTACAGAACTCTGGATTTTCACACTGGTGCCTATGGGCTACTGATCCCACCACAACTGTGGTCATCAGATAATGGAGACATCATGACTCTGCTGGGACTGGCCATCCCGTGCCAAGTTAGGATGTCTGAGACCCTCCTCTTTGACCTTCCTTTCTATTTCCTAGGTGTTTCATGTTATCTCTCTAATGTCAGAAAAGCAGGAAGGGACTGGGCCTCTGCTGAATCCTCTTCCATTTCGTTTCACATCCAGCCTACAAATGAAGGAGCAACCAAAGGACCTTCTGATTGGCCTTTGACTATATGGTGGTGTCAGTGAGACTCCTGTGCACTGTTCTTGCTAGATCCCTCCTGCTGACTGGCACCCAGCTTCTTCCTGTTTTTCTACTTCCTCCCACCTCTTCCAACACCCCCTTGCTACTCTTCAGAAGATAGGACCCTCAGGTCCCATTCCTTATGACCCGGAAAATCTATAAAGGAGCTAATGACTTATTTGAAGTGGGTTTTCCAACATGGATCTATGGCTCACTGCCTGAGCACAATCAATCATTCTGAGTGTAGGCAGGTTTTAGTGGCCTATGGGTGGTGATAGGAACAGCTTGGAGAGAAACCCAGAGCCCAGAATGGACAGAGATGGTCTTTAATTTACCACCATAGCTTCTGCAAATAAAGCAGCCTCCTGAGTGAGGGCTGCTTTCAAATCATCTGTTGGCAGAAAGTGCTGTGGGGACTCTCCACTAATGGTCCTGGTCGCCCCATTTGTTTTAGCATTGGACTCACCCTGGTGTTTTAGTGGCACTGCACTCTCTATACAGTCATTAGATAAACAGCCTTGTGTGTTTGTGTCTGGATATGAAGATAGTATTTTTTTTTTTTTTAGTCAGAATAATAGAAACAACTATCAGAACCAGCCAGTGAGGAGGGATGTGTAATGACAAACCCCTCTGGTGCTGTACCCACTGAACAGGGACCCGCGGTGATCCCTAAGTCCCTTGCTCCATCTGTCTGTTACCTCCTTTCTTTGGTGGTTACTTAATGTGGAATTATTGGAGGATTTTCTCCTGGTTTTCCACCCAGATCACCAAGCCCATTACCCAGTTCTCCTTCCCCCATGGGATTAGTGTTTTGCAAGGATAGCCATATCTTATCAGTTGTAAATCCCTACAAGGCAAGAATTTTGTCTTTAAATAGTTCAGTCAAAGGTTGGGGCGTCACAAACCCCTTTTGACTATCTAGAAAATCTCAGAAAGCAAAACAAACAAAACAAAAGCTCATGGACCACAGTTAAAGCAGACTCACAGGTACCAGAAATCCCCACTCAGGACCTTTGCCTAAGTTCCATTCAGCTGGTCCGCAGCCATCTTCAAGGAGCTGTATTCATAAGTGCTTCTCAGAAGATGAGAACTCATATTTGGGTTCTCCCATAGCATCCTTGAATAGAACCCCCAAAGGCTGTGCCTGCCAGATGTCTGTTTACTTCCCAGGTGAATCCACACCCCAGAAATGTCTCATGAGGCCTACTGCATTTGAAATGTTGTGGAAAGTCTTTGGAGGATCTAAAGTGTGATGGGTTAGAAGAGATCCCCGTCTTCAAAATCCTCAGGGCTTAACATCAGAGACAAACTCATGCAGCCAAATAGAGTAAGGAGGAGTTGACGGTCTGTGAGCATGGGCTGTGACAGTAGAAAGAGCTGCTCTTCCCTCTGTGAGGCGGATACAGCTTTGTGAAGGAGGTCCCTTCACCTTAGCCCTACGGAGGATGAGATTGCTCCACCAGTGCTTTTACCTGCCCTGGTTCATGGTTGGCCAGGCACCATTCCTACAGCGTTATGCATGTCAGCTCACTGGATCCGAACCACCGCTCCATGAGGACGTGTAACTCTCTTATTTCATAGATGAGGAACCCAAGGCATAGAGAGGGGAGGTGTATCACTTCTGGTTAAGCTTCACTTTATCAGAAAGATGGAGGAAATAGCAAAAGAGATCAGACCACTGCAAATGGCTTAGTATGGTTGGAGCAGTGGGTCTTTGGAGTAACATCACTGGAGTTGAAAATGTGAAGTGCAATGTAATGTAAATGTAACTGTCTTGGGCATCATGGAACCCTTGCAGGTATTTGAGGAAGTGGTACCCAATTTGGATCTGGGGAGGATCGCTGGTGATAGTATAAGGATGGGTTTAGAGCTCTTCCTGCCCCATCAGAGCTTTTCTGACACTATAAATACAGAGACGCGAAAGAGGGCGTTCACCCAACTGAAACTCTGCCAGGGTTCTCTGAGTACTAAATGCTGTTGAACTATAGATCAGACCTGGGTTTGACAGTTTTCCCAAGAAAGTCACAGAGCACGTGTGGCATCAGTCCTGAGACTTGGAGTAAGGCAGAGAAGCACAGAGCGTTAGGATTTCTGTAGGTTGTGTCGGGTAGACAATTTACACAATGACGGACCTGCACAGGTGACTGA